CCAGCCTGCAACTCTGGGGAATCTCTGACCAATAAGAAACATCCCCCTAGATTTGAAGGCTAGAGTGAATCTAGATTGCTTTCCCCCGTCCCCCAGCCCCCGTCCCATTCGGCCCTGCAAGCCCACCTTTACTCCCCATCTCTGCTCCGAGTGAGAGGCTGCGGACGCCGCTGATTCTCGGGGATTTTGCCCACTTCAGTGGAACCCGGAGGGCGGGAGCGGGGGGCGGGGCCCCTTCCTATCCAGCCAATGGCTCTCCACATAGATGGGAACACTTCCAAAAAGGGGTGGCTTTCTTTGTAAACAGCCAAAAGCAACGATGTCTGTAAGCAACCCTTGGCGGTTCATGGAGGCTCAACATATTTTAAAGTAAGGCAGGGTCTATTTGCAACTGGCTAACTGATGTGGTCAGGGTAGAGGAGAGTTTTTTAAAAGGCACAGGGTTTACTTATCAATGTCCCACAGCGACATTTAGAAGAGAGCCTTAATTTTTTTTTTTTTTTTGAGGGATTCGGTCTATCCAAAACCAGCCCCTAGGGGGAGCACTCCAAAGAAGGGATTATTTTTTTAGCAACTATCCCACCTTAATGCTCACAGGAGGGTGGAGTTTACAATGTCTAGCCAATAGTACTATACCTTCTTCCTTCTCCACTCTCCTTCGTTCCTTCCCAAAGTTGTCCCTTTATTTATTTGTTTGTTTGTTTGTTTGTTTGTTTGTTTCACACTGTACAACCCCCTTCAGTGCTCACAGCCCACAGATAAGGAGGCTGGGCAATGGTTCGAGGTTGCAATTTACTCTGGCATGGGCACACTATGAGAGGCCCACAGGGGAGGGCCCGCCATAAATCCATTACCATGCTCCGAAGTTGGTCCCTTTAAATTGCAATCCTCCCACCCTGGCTGTAATCCAAAGAAGCACTTTCACTCGAGCAGTTTACCTAGAAGGTGTGGTTCCAGTGTGAATTCTGATTGGTCCGTGCAAACGAGGCACTGCCCCGTTATTGGCTCCCGATCCAGCGGCCCGCATGGCTCTTCCTCTTTCTCGTCCAGCGAGGGCTCAGCAGGCCAAGAGTTCGAATCCCGGGATCCGGGTGGGGCCGGGGTACGGGCCTGGGGGTTCCCAGAGCCAGAGCTGGACTGTGGAGTCAAGTCTTCGGGCGGCGAGGACTGAGCGAGTCCGAGTTGTACGTCCAGTTCTGGTGCGTTAGAGAGAGAAGGCCGTGAGATTTCACCTTGAAGGTGCCCTGAGAAGAGACTACCCACCCTTGTGACTTTGGTCCCAGCACCTCAGGACATCTCACCTTTCCCAGCCTCTCTTGCCTCTGATCTTTCGGGCTCCTCGTCTTCCAGCGGGGTGGAGCTACTGGTGGCAGAGTCCTCCCCGGAGCCCGCTCCCCGGGCCGCCCAGTCCAGCTTGTCTAGCTGGAGCCCCAGGTCCTCCAAGGGGTGCTCAGCCAGAGGGACAGTGTCGGGATCTCCCCGGCGCACGGGTTCTGGGGACTGGCTCAGGCTGGGGATACTCTCCAAGCTGTCGCCCAGGCCTGGCTGAGGGTGTGGGTCCCGGGGTTCAGAGACTGAGCGGCCCTGGGGTCGGGGCCGGCGGGTGGTTGAATCCCGGCGCGCTCCGGAGCCCACCACGCCGTCGAAGGCAATGTAGGAGAAGGTCAGCTCCCGAGGGGTGCCCCAGTCCTGCGACGTGGTCTCTTCCTCCTCGTCCTCCGAGAATTCCCGGGCTGTGTGCAGGTCCCGAAAATCCGAGTCGTCGTTTCCTCCTGCAGCATGGAAAGGAGGGCGTGAGCGACTTGGAGCGGGATTCCGACCCACTCTCCTCAGCCCTCCTACCCAGCTGTGTGCCCCTTTCAAATCACAGTCTCACATCCTCCCCCTCCACTTACCTTCGGTGGAGTCAGGGGTAGAGGAGGCTGTCGATGGAGCTTCTTCTGCAGGAGGGAAAAAGTCAAAGACTCTTAGAAGTTTAGACTGTCCGAGTCACTGACGTGTTCAATCAAGCCTGGGAACTCGGATGGTGCAAATTAAGGAGTCTTAGAATATTTGAACCACAGGTCCTTTTAGAACATTCTGCATACAGACTGTAAAACCTGTCACTTCTAGCAGAAGCTCAGTCTTAGAAGTTCAAATCCAGGAACCCTAACCTTGGAATCCTCTTCAAATGAGGAATTTTAGGAGGTTTCAGTTCACTCATTCTTTCAACAACTGCTTGCCGAGGGCCCACCACATACCAGGTGTTGTTTTAGACCCTAAAGACACGACTGTGAACAACACAGACAAAATCCCTGCCCTCATAAAGCTTACTCTCTATGGAGGATGCAGACAATAAACAACTAAATACATGATGTTGGGTGCTTTAAGCACGTGGAGAAAAATAAAGCTGGGTTAGGCAACAGTAAGGGAGAGGGTACTATTTCAGACAGGGTGGTCAGGAGACTTCTCTGATAAGATGACATCTGAGCAGAGTTCTGAACAAAGTGAGGAATCCTCACAGATGTCTAGGGAAGAGACTTCAGGGCAGATGGAAAAGTTCAGTGCAAAGGTCCTGAGGCAGGCACTGGTGGGCATGTTTGAGGAACAGTGCAGTGCAGAAGGGAGGGATAATAGATAAAGCCGAGGAGGGAGATCTCGTAGGGCCATCCCTTGTAAGCTGAGATAAGGACAAGATCTTAGAATTTTGGGATGATACTCGAAAACGTTGAAATAACAAATTCTTGGGATTTTGGCATCTGGACTTCCCAGGTATGCAAGAAGCTAGATCTGAGGGTGCTGAACCCCCCAGCTGTCAGAATCTCGGGGGTATGGGACAGAGAGTGTTAGAGAAGGGCTGTTAGAGCTCTGGCCTCAGAGATCGTGAGGATCAGACGAGGCGTTTTCAGGTGTGGAATCCAGCCCCGCGGGAGCCACCGAGCATGAGGCTTTGCCTGCAGGAGACGCTCAGGGTCCCTTGGAAATTGGAATCAGACGCCCCACCCTGTTTCCTTAGCTGGGAAGCAGAATGCCGGGAATCAGAGGCCAGGAGCAGAGTGAATCTCCTCCAGGATTGCTGTACTAATCAGGGGTAAAGCCCGCTGTGGACTCAGGAGTCTTGGCCCCCACCCAGGAGTGGCTGTTTCCCAGGGACAGGAGGTTGGGCAGTTTGGGCGAGGTCGGGGCTGCCCGTGAGTCCGCGCATTAAATGGAGGTGGGATGCGAAAGTGGGCGATGGAGGGGGGCTGGAACCCTTTTCTCCATCCTGGCTCTACCCCTCCGTTCAACTGTCCTCCCCTCCGGCTGCGGCCAGCACCAGGGAAGGGGACAGCTCCCCGGGAACGTGCTCATCCCAGGGCGGGGCCCGGCCGCACATCCCAGCACCCAGGGCGCCCCACGCCAGGTCTCTCAGTGCCCCCAACTCCGCCCAGTCTCACTCGAGTCCTCGGGGCCAGGGCGCCCCCGTCGCCACTAAGTCGCGGGGGAGGGGAGAGTTTCCTTTGTCTCCTTGGCCTCCTCCCCCTTCCCTGCTCTCCCGCGGCCGGACGCGGAGAGGAAGCGGAGGAGAAGCCCTCCTGAGCCTCTGGGCCCCACACCAGGCCCGAGCCAGCCCCTACTCACTGCAGTGGGCGAAGACCGGCAGGACCTGCCCCATGGCCCCCCTTGGGACTGCATCGGGACCCCCGCCCACTCCGGCCGCGCCGCCCTGGGCCTGGGGCCGTGGGCACTCATCTCCACCGAGCCCACGACGCCGCCGCCATCCTTGCCGCCTCCTCCCGGGCTGCTCCGGCAGCCGCCGCCACTGCCGCCGCCCTCTGCTTCGCTCGGAGGTGGGAGGGGCCACGGTGGAGATGGCACTGCAGCGCGGAGCTGGGGGAGGGGCCAGACGATAGATGGGGCGGGGCCTGAGGGAGGGCAGGGGGCGGGACAACTCTGTGGAGCACGCGAGAAGGGGCGGGGTTTTTCTACGAGAGAGGCGGGGCTCGAGGATGGCTACGGAGCTCAGAAGACGTAAAAGGCAGTCTGAAGGGCGGAGTCTAGATGGAAGGGGGCGCGGCGAGTAGGGGAAGAGGGGCGGAGCCTAGGGTTGGGTGTGGGGCTCGGGAAAGAATGGAGGGGCGTGGATCTCAGAGGGGCGGGGTTAGGGATGGCACTGAGTAGAGGGTATAAAGATTCTACTTCTTTGAGGTAGGGTTTGAGCCTAGATTTTCAGAGGGAGTGAGAAAGGGGGCGGATAGAAAATACCCAGGGACTTTTGAGACCAGAGGCGGATCTCAGACATGGGTGGTGCTTAAGCCTATTTAGAATTATGGGTTCGGTAGCGGGGCCAGTGGAGACAGAGGAGCTGGAGTCGTGGCCTAAAGGAAATAAAACTGGCACGGAAGGGGGCGTGGTCCAGGTGGGCGTAACCTGAAGGGGAGGAGGCCTGCTTTGGCTAGGCAGACTATGGGGGCTGGCCTGTAATTAAGAGGTGGGGCCAGAATTGAGAAAATTGAGAGTTCGAGGCTGTGGGCTTGTGTGAGTGGCAGGACCTAGAAAAGACGCAACCTGAGCCCGGGGGCGAGACCAAGAAGGGGTGGGGTAAAACTAAAAACAAATGAAGGATTTAGAGAGATTTAAAAACGGGGGCGCTGGGCCCACTGAGGTGGACAGAGCTTGGACAGAGCAGGGCTGGGGACTGAAGCCGAGTGTAGAGTGGAGCCCTGGCTGGTGTGGCTCAGGGGGTTAAGAGCTGGCCCACAAACCAAAGGGTCGCCGGTTTGATTCCCAGTCAGGCACATGCCTGGGTTGTGGGCTAGGCTCCCCAGTAGGGGTCGTGAGGAAGGTAACCACACATTGAACTTTCTCTACCTGTCTTCCTCCCCCTCCCCCTCTGTCTAAAAATAAATACATAAGTAAATTATATTTTAAAAAGTGTAGAGTGGAGAACAGGAATTCTAAAGTTAGTGTTCCTGCTTGTTCAGCGACTCAATTTTCTCTTTGGAAAATCGGAAATGATGATGTAAAATAGTGTGTAGCACATGGTAAATGCTAATTTGCTACTGCTATTTTTCCGTGACCCTGATCCCAAACTTCGCTTTGAAGGTGCGAGAGAAAGGAGACCGAGGAGTCCAATCTCTTCTAGTGATTCGACTTGAGTGCAGGTCAAGGGCATAGCAAGATGCCATTTCGGTGGTTTAAAATCTCACAGTGGAGGGGACTAATGCTGTTGGGGGGCAGGTGCAGAGGGTGGAGCCTCCCTGATCCCAGAGCCGAAGGATGGCGGCCCTTGTCCACTTGCGAGAGGCCTCCTCTGTTCAGCTCTCAAGAAGCGCAGGAGAGGGGGTGCGGGGCGGGGGCGCAGGGCTCGAGACCGGTCTCGGTTCCTTCCGGAGGCGCCGCAATGCGCCCAGCGGCCGCACTAGGGTGAAGCAGCATCTTGGGGCCTGCGCTTCGGGGCGAGCGCAGCTCAGGGCTGGCACATAGAGGATGATCATTGCGCATGGCTCACGTTACCCTGGGTGTCCCTGGGCTGGGCTTTTTTTGCTGTCCTCGACTGCCAAGGCAGGGCGCGAGCAGCCCTCTTCGGCGCAAGCCACTTGCCAGGCCACGTGCTTGAGGCGTTGGGCCCGGCTCCTGACCAGCCCGAGGGCCTGTGCAGGACGCTTCACCATGCCTTCTTGAGCACAGACGCACACCTGCGCTCGCTCTGGCCACGCGGCGAGCCAGGAGGTTCAACCGCGGTGGCGTTGCTCGTTTTCCCAAGATTTCTGTACCTGGCACGCTGCAGTGACTTTTGCGCGGTGCTGAGCCTCTCGGGAGCTGTGGCCTTCGGCACCTAGGACCATCGGCCCCTCCAGCTCCAGGAACTCGAACGTATCCAAGACGCGGGCGGCACCATCTGCCTCCGGCGTCTCGAGGGCTCTTTGGCAGTGTCACAAGCACTGAGAAACATTACAAAGAGGCTCCGGGAGGGCCTCCTGAGCTGCAGCTTGTCTCCGCGGAGCCTGAGGTGACCGCCCTGGCACAGCGTGTGGAGGACGTGTTCATGCTCCTGGCCTCGGGTCTGCAGGACTAGATGTTTGGCGCTGTCCTGGCGGCACTGGTGACATCACGCCTCTGCTTGGGCCTGGCCCCAGAGCTTCTCTGCCTGCAGCTGTTGGACTCCTGCCTGTGCGAGGGCCTGAGGCGGGGCTCGGGATTACCCAGGGGAAGAACCTAATGGTTTTAGGGAGGAAGGTCTTTAACCGAGAGGCGAGAAGAAAACTAAAGAGGGGGTGGGGCTCTACAAAAAGGCACCTGCAGAAATAGGACTAGGCCAAAATATGGAGAGTGTGGAGCCCAGAGATGCCTTGAGGCAAGACGGGAAAGTGGTACTTGAAGGGCTAAATAAGTAAGTGGAAGGGATTTAAGAGAAAGGATGTGGTGTTTAGGGATGGGATGGAATAAGTCTTGAGGCGTGATTAGCAGCTAGACAGCAGAGTAGGAGGAGCTTTGGGGAATGGGCTTGTTTATCTCTGATGGGGTGGGACTAAAACAGTGAGGGCGTGGCCTGAAGGATTCATACTGGTGGGATCGCTAGGTTTAGACTGGCAGATTGACAGGACTTGAGAGACATGGGCATAACTCAATTGGGGAGAGAGGCACAAGAACACAAGGATTGTTGGAGCTGTGCTTCCAAGGGCATGGAGCTCCGTGCTGGGGCATTCAGCCATAGCCCACCAGGCTCTCGTTTCTCCACTGGCTTCAGGGCAGCCTGGATAACACGACCTCCATCCCGGTCTGCTTCCCCGGGGAACACTAGGCCTTGTGAGGAGGCGATCAGGAAGGAGCTAGCATTGGATGAAGCCCTGAGCCGGCAGACTCTAGAAGCTGGTCGGCAAGCAGGGGCGCTCCCACAACCCTTGCTTCCTCCTCAGAGCTGTGTTCCTCTGCCCAGGAGTCCCCAAGCCCAAACCCGGTTTTCAGGACTCTGGCCTCTGAGGACATCCCAGATTCACCTCCTGGGGGAGGGCTCTACTGCAAGTGAGTCTGGGTGGGTTGGGGTAGAAAGTGGGAGAGGTGGCCAGAAAAGTGTCCCCTCCTGAGGGCCTGTCTGCTCTCCAGGACAGCTGTCATTGCTGAAGCTTATTCTCAGTTCTTCTGGACCTCAGGGGAGTGCTGAGAGGTAAGGACCCAATGATTTTTTAAAAATCTTCACCCAAGGATATGTTTCTTGATTTTTTGAGAGAGGAGAAACATTGGTGTGAGAGAACTTTCCACTGGTTGCCTATTTACTTTTAGAGAGGGGGGAGGGAGGAAGAGACGGATAGAAACATTGATCAGTTGCCTCAGGCCCGCACCACCCCAACTAGGGACAGAACCTGAAACCCAGGCATGCGTCCTGATGGGGAATCGAACCTGCCACCCTTCACTTTGCAGGACAGCGCCCAACCAGCTGAGCCACACAGGTCAGGGCAAGACCCTGTGTCTTGAATGTTTCTCTTGGCAGCATGTAATCCAGCCCACTCCCCCTCCTTTAGTGATAGGGAAACTGAAGCCAGATGGGGGACAAGGGGCTTGCCTGGTATATTAACATTCTCACTCCTGTCCTGAAGCATTTTTCTAGGTATGAAGGGGGACAAGCAAGAGCAGAAGAGACTGTGCTTCCCCTCCAAGAAATTTGCCCCCTGCCATGCTCCGGAAAGCCCCATCATTCCAAGCAACACCCCTGCCACCCAGGATTAAGGCAGAAAAATCCCAGGAATGTTGCTGACCAGGCCTGGATGCACTGCAGACCAGGACATCCTGGAGGACAGTCTGGATCTTGGAGAGAGATTGTGAATTGGGCCCAGACAGCCTAAGAGCATTGGAGACTACTCCAAAGACGCCATGGGTGGGGCTCAGGGTGAAAATGGGAAGGAGGAAGCTGGGGCCAGAGCCCAAAGGCTTTTCCATAACTTGGTTATTCCCACTTACAAGAGGGGGTTTGTTGATAGTTTCTGAGTAGCAGAAGGAGGTATTTGTCAGCATTGTTTGAGTTGTGGGGGACAGAGACCCAACTAAACCTGGGAAAGCAAAACAGGGAGTTTGCTGAGCCATGTAATTAAAGAGTTCAGGGACATAAGGCAGGACTGCATTCAGTTGTCAGTTGATGTCATTAGGAACCGTCTCTTAGTTCCTCCCAGTTGGCTTCATTCCCAGGCAGGGTCTTAGCATGAGGCAGCAGAGTTGCAGCTCCAGCCTCACACCTCACAAGCCTACCATCCTCAGGGCAGAGAAGGCACGGGTTTCCCGGTGGTTGCAGCAATGGTTCCAGAGCTGGTTCTCATTGGCCGCACTGGGTCACATGCCTGCCAGTCACAGTGTCTCTGACTAGCCAGACTGTGGTCACAAGCCCACCCCTAGTGCTTAGGCTTAGGGTCCAGTGCATCCAAACCTGATGGACAGAGGAACGGTGGTGCCTGAAATGAAAATATAAGTGGTGTCTCCAGAATATAAGGGAGTCGATACTGAGAGGAAAGAAGGGGTGCTTATTTACCATCTATTATATTTTGTGTTACAGAAGGTGCAGAATGGGCCTGGGAAGGCCACTGGCACCCCTTCAAGCTCTGCCGTGGCCTTCCAGGCCTGACAGCTGTCACCCTTCGGGGCCCCAGTGGAACTTAGACACCTCCCCCTCCCCGGCTACGCAGAGCAGCCGATGGAGGAACCCCAGAATGTTTATTTCCCCTTCTCCTACTTCCCTCTCACAAAAAGGCTTATGAGAGAGGAAATTCCACCCACCATCTAGACAGAAAAAAAAACCCCAAAAACCCCAAACTGAATGTTTGTGAAATATTTAGAGCTGAACAAACGATGAGAGATCACCCTGTTCAATCACCTCTTCCCTTTCCCTTTTTCATCGGTTTTGGGTAGGAGGCAGCAGGAAGTTTTTATTATTAAATTATAATTACATGATTCAAAATACATTTAACTCGTAGGAAAAAAAATACCTCAAACATTGTTTGCCCAGTCGTTTGGCAAATATATTGAGCACCTGCCCATAGCCATCAACTGGGGGACTTGCTGAAATTCCTGCCTATTTGAGGGGCCCAGCTCCTAGTGTGTGGGGAGAGACAGCAAAGGATGATAAATAGCTCTGGCTGGTGGGGCTCAGTGGATTGAACGCTGGCCTGCGAACCAAAGGGTCATCGTGTGGATTCCCAGTCGAGACACATGCCTGGGTTGCAGGCCAGGTCCTCAGTAGGGGGTGCGCGAGAGGCAACCACACATTAATGTTTCTCTCCCTCTCCTCCCTCCCCTCCCTCCCTTCCCCTCTCTCTAAAAATAAGTAAATAAACTCTTAAAAAAACAAACAAACAAACCCTGTACTTATGCATGCATTGGGTGATTCTTGCTTGTGCACCGACCAGGGCTCAAACCTACAACCTTGGTGTATCAGGAGAGTGCTCTAACCAACTGAGCTACTCAGTTGGCTTGAGTTAGTGCAGGGTTCTTGCTACCCGTTTTGCACAGCGCTTAAGCTAAGAATGTTTTTTACATTTTAAAGGGCTGTAAAAAATATGTGAAAGAGACTCTCTACCTCATATGCCTAAAGTATTTACTAACTGAACCTTTTTAGAAAAAGTTTGCTGACTGCAGTGCAACTGACACAGAAGCACCATCCCTCCCATTTCCCAGATGGGAAAGCAGAGACCTGGAGAGGAGAAGGTACTCGCCCAAGGTCACACAGAACGGGGGTTCTCATTCAGTCAAATAAACGTGTGTTGAGCTGCTGTTCTGGGTCTGGCTATGTCAGTGAGGCACAGAAATAGATCAAGTCTACCCCTGTTCCCCAAGGATTCACAGCCTGAGGAGACAGATACACAAAGAAACGATTATAACCCAGGTGGATCAGGGTTCAAGGTCTCCCAGGGTGAGGTGGAGAAGAGGTGTGGATTACTCAATTCCGCAGAGAATGATTAATGTCAGAACATGTCCTAGAAGTATGAGGTGAGGTCAGGACAGCATCCAAGCAGAGGATTTGGCTTGGGCAAAGGCTGGGAAGGCTGACTTCCTCACCTAGTCAACGGGACCCTGAGAATTATTTGACACTCACACCTTGTACCAAACACCACTGGAGTTCTGGGGGTTCAGACAAGAAGGCTTATAGTTCAGATTTATTCCCTGCCCCCAGGCCTCAGTTTACCCATTTGTAAACGTCAAACTGATAATTTCCCAGGTTTCTGTCCCTCGCTAGGTAGGGCACCTTACCTAGGCCAGGTGGCGCTGTACCGGAGAGGCGGGACCATATGAGTGACGTCACAGGGGCGGGGCCGTGGACCCGCCGCCGAAGCTTCTGAGGGTGTCTGGGTTCAACCGCAGCCGGGGCGTGGGGGAAGGGGCTTGCGGGAACCGGTGCTAGGGAGGGTATCCCCACCTCCGCGCCCTCCGATTGCGGAAAGATCCTGCCGTTCTCCTCATGCGAAACGGAGTTACGGCTGAGCGTACTTGGGGAGGGAGCCTGCGGTTTTATCCACGCTGGAACCCTGAGTCTCATCCCCACCCAGGTCCAGCGCCGCACCCCCACCCCCTGCGGCTGTGAGTCAGCGGCCGGCCGCGCCCCCTCAGCCCACTTCCTCCTTACCTTCTCAGCCCGGGCGGGGGGCCGTGAGAGGGGTGGGGCCCTTCCCACTCCTCTGCCTCCCGCGCCGGGAAGAGGTTTCACCCTTAGTAACCCCTCACAGATTGACAGAGAAGAGAAATGTTGGGGGTCAGAAAGGGAGGATTTAGCGAGAAAATTTGAGCGAATTCATGCTTAACCAGAGGGTCCTCCTCGTCCCCTCCCCAAATCGAGCAGAATATAAAGAAATCGAGAAATCGATAGGGAGGGTGAGAATAAATTGTGTCCGCATTGAGATACCCCTAAGGATTCGCATCATGGGGGAGAGCTAGGTGTCGAAAGGATTCCCTCCCCCTCCACCGAACTTCCCCCCGTTAAGGTGAGGGTGCCCCCGGCATGCACACCCAGGTTGGGGAAGAGAGGGATAGCGGGTCAAGGGTTCCGCGTCGCCCTTTTAAGCGCCCTCTACCGCACCCCTCACCGCCTTGACTGGCTCGCGGCCCCTTTAAGGCGCAGGGGATTGTGGGTGCGGGGAGTGGAATTTTGGAACGAAATGTAGCGAAGAGAAGTACAGTAGTAAGAGTACCAGTGCAGCCGCCGCTGGCCGAGGGGGCGCGCCGCGGAGGGGACGCCGCACCCCCTTTCTGCCGCAGGGACCCCGATCACACCGCCCCAGAGGGAAGAGGCGCCCCCAGTACCCGCGTCGGCCGCGTCCACGTTTTCCCCAGGAAGCCGGACTCTATGGGGCGGGACCCCGGGGGAGACTGAGCGGAACCTGGAGCCGACCCCGAACCCCTGAACCTCGAGCGAGGGGCGCCCCGGGAGCACCCGCCCTGTGGGTGCGCAGCCCGCCCGCGGAGCAGCCATGAGGTGAGCCTCCGACGCCTCCAAACCCTTCCACCCGGCGCCGCTCCCCGCCCCGCCTTTGTCCCCTCCCCCCAGCGCGCTCCGGGCTGGGATTCGGGGACAGGGCGCCGGGGGCCTGGGGCTGGAGGCTGGACCCTCTTGGATGAGCCCCAAATACTGACCCTTCCCCCACGACTCCTCAGGTCCGGGGTGGTGCTAGGGAGGTTCTGCTGGGAGCCCTCACGTTTGGGGGCGTTCCGAGGACTCCCGCATTTTTAACAGACTTTTTCGGAGAACCTCCAAGTTGGCAGATACTCCCCGCAGGGGGGGCGGGATGGAGGCAGGGCTCAGACCCCCGCCCCCCCAGATTTCAACTTGGGCTCCTAGAGGGGCCATGGGGGCCGGTCGGAGGGTCCCCGGCACCTGGGGGGGAGACGGAAACCTGGACCCTGGTGTGCGGGGCTCCCCGTCACGCGAGGCTGGAGAGTCCGCATGGGACCTCGCTCTTCAACTTCGAGATACTTAAGCCCCTAGGTTGGACGGGTTCCCGTCCTCGGGGGAGGTGGGTGCGCACGGACCCTGACGCAGCCTCAAGGGTGTGGGTAGGACTCCCATCCCCCGCCGCTCCGTGCCCACCGTCCGCTTACACCAGGCCGTGCCCAGGTCCCAGCGGGCGCTCGGTGACGAGGGCGGCTCCCCGGCCACGGGCCAGAAGGGCGGTCTCTCTCCCCCACCTGCGCGGCCCGGGGAGCGAGGGGGCGCGGCAGCTGGGGAAGTGGGGGGGCCTTTGTCTTCCTGACTCACCTGTCGAGACAGCTGGTGTTGGGGGGGAGGGCGGGGCGGGGGCGCCGCGGGCCGGCTGCTTCCCCTGCGCCGCGCCTCCCCCTCTCCCAGCGCCCTTCCCTCCCGCCGTCGGAACTGGGGGGGTTGGAGAAGGGGCGCGCTGGAAGCGTCAAGGTCATAGCCCGCGCCCCTTGGGACCCAGGCTTCCCAGATGGTTCCAGCTCTCTGCCCAGGAATTTAATCCTGGGGAAGAGGGTTCAAAGGACCCAGGAATCTTGTCTTACCCGGGCCTCCCTCAAAACTCCTGGACTCACCTGAGGGCAGGGCCGGTGCGGGCTCGGGAATCCCACTGGATCCAGCCCCCGACACTCTCGCCTCCCCATGACCCCCCCCCCCAATCTCTCCCGAGTGGCCTGAGCTTGACAATACTATCTCCCTTCCTCCACTCTCTCAGGGACTTCCTGCCCCGAAGACCCCGGCTTGAGGGAGGGCCCCTGGGGACAGCTGGGGATTAACCCCGTGGTGCCCACATCCTCCCACTTCCTCCGCGTTCTCCGCACTCCTGCCCTCTGACATGGGGGGGCCGTTCCTTTCTACAACCCACCTCCCGCATGTGTTCATTCTGATGGGGAAGGGATGGTTGGAAAGTTTGGAACAAGGGGCAGCCACAAAACACCCTCGAGACTTCCTGCCTCCCCTTTCCCCCATTATAGCAATAGCCCCTCCAGGCCTGCTCTGGGGAGAGGGCAGTTTTCGGGAGCTAGGCTCTCTTCCTTCACCCTCTTCCCCGGGGAGCCTCCTCTCCCACTGGCCCCAGCCACACCCCTTGCCCCTGCCCCCCCCCACATTTCCGGTCCCATGCACCGTGGAAGGCGGATGGCGGATGTCCGAGTTAGTGCTGCCTCACTCCGTGAGACCGTAAAAGGGCAGGAGCTGTTTCTGGGCCGGCCTCCCACCCCCACCTCCACCCCCAAGCCCAGGCCCGAGGCCCCAGCCCTCCCACAGGCCCCCTACTAATGGTCAGGGGCCAAACCTCCGGACCTTGTGGGGGGAGAGCAGAAGTGGATTAGTTGGCTGTCCCTCCAGGGGGTTACTAAAACATCCTGGAGGGTCTTCCCTGTCAATGACCACACCCGACTTTCTGGGCTGTTCTTCTTCTCCAAAGCAGCTAGGATTCAAATCGACCCATACCCGCTGTACCCAGCTGGGGAAACTGAGGCTCAGAGAGAGAAAGGCCTGGCAGCAAGATCCCTCAGAAACTCCTGGGCAATGTGGAGGGAGGGGAGGGGAGCGGACCGGGATCCTCGGATTTCTGGCTGCTTTGGATGGGGGCAGTTGGAAGAGAGGATGTTAAGATGGAAAATTACAAGATAACAGTTTTCTTTCTCCCAGTTTGACAAATATTTGCTGAGTGCTGTGCCTGGGACTCTGAGCTGGGATTCCGGGAAAGCTGGGCAGCTGGGCAGAGAGGTCTGAGGCTCAGGGCGGGGGAACCCCGAAGGAGAAGTTCAGTCCATTTCTTGCCTCTTCTCATAATAGTAACCACTGTTACTAATTTTACTTAAAAAATAAGTGACCATTTGATCAAGCATCTCCTTTGCATAGGCACTGTCCTTGGTGCCTGAGTCAGTCCGGTCCTCACAGCAAGTCAGAGAGCGATACTATCATACCTGGGTCCCCACCCCAACCCCAGTTTACAGATGGGGAAGCTGAGGCCCCGACAACTGAAGCACCTTGCCTAAGAGTTTGGAAGTAGGCAAGCCTGCATTTGAACTCAGGGCTGTCTCCAGAGTACTGCTCTGTTCTAATGATCTTCTTAAGAATACATAGGTATCATGCTCCCACTGTACGGACAATGAACAGAATGGAGACATGAGAAAAGGAACCCAGAGGGGCAGCCTTTGCCTTCTTGCTCTCCTGTGGGAAACTGACGCCGGTCAGGGAGGGTGGGCCGGCGTGAGCCTGCACAGGTCCCACAGACACTAGATCTAGTTCCCTTTGCAGGGTTATCTCAAAGGTTTGTAGTCTGCAAAGGTTGTGTGTGTGTGTGTGGGGGGGGGAATGTGGATCACAGGTTTTGTGGTTTAAGGAAGCTAGAGGGTAAGTCTTAGGATGGGAGCGAGGGGTGAAGGGAAGGGCAAGCCTCTAACTGGGAAGGTTTGAGTAAACCAGAATGACTATGCTTGATTGCCTCCGGTGATGAGAAGCTTTCTCCTTTTGTTTTGCCTCTCAGCTGCCTTGTATGGAGATTGTGCCAAATTCCAAGTCTGAGCTTTAGGGCTTTTCTTATCTCTTCAAACCCTTACAAGGAACCAATGAGTTACGGTTTTCTGGGCTGGAAATCGAGGCTCTGAAAGGGGAAGGCACGCAGCAAGGGACCTACTTGAACCCTGTCTCGTCCATGGCATGCTTGAGTTTTCCAGAATCCAGGGACTTGTGTGGAAGGCTGGGTCCTGGGCTGGCCGGGGATTCATGCAGTCTTCTGCGAGACCCTGCGAGACCCTGGAAGCGGTCCGACCCCCTGTGAACCTCACTCTGCAGCTTTCTGGTGGTGGGATTTTCCATAGCAGATTTTGCCTGGTTTGTAGTTTTATTTTTTGAATGTAAGGAATGAGTGAGTTTTTTATAGGTAACACACCAGCCCGTGGTGGGGGGAAAAACAAAGAAAAGAAATAAGCAAGCCGTTCTAAACAGCGGACAATGCGGCCCCTCCTCAGGTGCCCAGGCCCGTCCCAGTCCTCAGAGTCAGAGTCACCGTCAGTCCCCTGACAAGCAGCCTCTGTGTCTGTCACCCCTGTGTACGGATGTGTTTATAACCTCCCACCTTTTTTAAAAAAACCTCTGATACGCACCACTGCAGACCTTGGCTTTTTCAAATTTCAGCTTCGCTGTTTTCTCACCTTTCCATGAGGCGAAGAACTGGGGCGGACTTGGTTTCAAAGGGGAGCCCCTCTGCCCTACTTGCTGTGTGACCTGGGACAAGTGTCTTCAGCTCTCTGTGCCCACGGTTCCTCATCCGTAAAAAGGGCAGGGACCCGAGTCCCTCCCGGGAGGTCATTGCCAGGTTCTCCGTGGCAGCTGAAGCTCAGCACCAGGAACAGTGTCTGAGAAGCGGGCTAACCAGTCACCACAGCTGCCGTGGCTCCATGTTCCTTTTTCATAGATGGCTAGTTTGACGGTGGTTGAGCATCTCCTGTGTGCCGGACACCATTCTAGGTTCTGGGGACACAGCAGTGAGCAGTAAGGACACAAGTCCCTTCCCTTGTCCTGATGTTTCGGTGGGGGAGACTGGGGTCTGTCAGGTGGGACGTGTGGCGAGAGGGAGAGGAACTCTTCTGGTGCTCAGAGGAAGTGGTGACCGCCAGGCCAGGCGGAGACCTGGGGGAAGTGAGGGTGCAGGTTGAGGAAGAGTAAGTGCTCAGGCCGGAGGCTGGGACGTCTGGTCTGGAGAAGGAGCAGCCCAGAGGCCGCAGGGGCTGGAAAAGCAGGCTGGGGGAAGGGAAGGGGTGAGCTCAGAGATCACAGGGGTCATGGAAGCCACAGAGCGCTCTTGGCTTGCTTTCCGCCCGAGCCAGGGAAGCTTCCGAGAAGAGGAGGGACTCCTCCTGACTGGTGTTTTAACTGGACCCATCTGCTGTAAGGGGGACCCTGCGGCCGGCCCAGGCCCAGCTTGGAGAGGGGCAGGGCCAGCCTGGGGTCACCTGGCAGCAGGCGCCCTGGGGCCAGAGCCTCCAGGGCAGGGCAGCTGGGGAGAGCAAAGTGCAGCCAGGGTGGGGCCGGTGCCCGGCCAGAGTCTGCCCCGGGGACGGGACCGGTAGTAGGTGTGGGCGAGGCCTTCACCCGGCCCTGCTGGGGGCAGTGGGAGCCAGAAACGGCCCCTGAGGCGGTGCCTGCCTGGGAACAGCACCTGGTGTTCGGGGAAGGCCCTGCAGTCCCTGGTGGGTTAGACTGTGGACGTGTGGCCCAGGTGTCCTGGGGGTCCCAGGTGTCCCGGGGGCAGATGCTCACTCTGCTGCTTGTTGCTCTGTGCCCTCCCTGGGCTTCCTTCTGCAGTCCTCACTTCCAAGCTGAGGAGGAAATAGTGCCCATTTCAAAGTGCTGCAGCGAGAATAAAACTAGTAAGGAGAGGGCTTAGGGTGCCTGATCAGCGGAAGCGCCTCCTAAGAAGGAGGTGCCACGTGGTGTAAACTTGGGGGTGTCCAGGGCTCAGCTTCCAGGCCTAGGAGCCCAGAGCTGGCTCTGCTGAGGGGCTTTCCCTGTCCTGGCTTTCACGGCCTCAGCATCACGCCCCAGCCCCCAGGCCTGGTAGAGGCAGAGCCATTTTGGGGTGTAATTTCTCTCCCCGGAAACCTCTGACCACCAACTTCCTCTTTTCAGGAAAAAGGGGGTGGGGTGGGGGGGCCACTAGTGCTTCCCTCTGGTCTGTGTGTGACCTTGAGTAAGTCACTTCCTGTCTGGGAGTCTGAGTTTCCGCATTGGGGGAGGGGAGATTGGACCACCCCCAAAGGACCGCTGCGGGGTCTGGAGGGATCCTGGATGTTCGGGGTGCCTGGGAAAGGGATGGTGACAGCTACTAAGTGCTCCACACATGACAGACACTGGGCCAGGGGCTCTGCTTTGTGTGTCCAGACTCATCTGCTCCCACTGTCCTGGGAGCAGGGACTGTCATCTCCCCAGTGTGCAGGTCTCACGTGGGAGGGTTGCTTGCTTGAGTCATACGGAGTACGTGGCTTAGCGGGGATTTGAAGCCAGATTCGTAGATAGCAGATCCTGAACTCTGAACCAGTCTCTTGACCCTTCCCCCCAAGGCTGAGTCAGATGTCCCTTACTCCAGAAGTCCTCTGTGACCCCCAGACCAGGGAAGGTGCTGCTGGGCACCCCTGGGCTGTCCCTGTCTGGGGACCTGACGGCCTCCTGCCCTGGAGGGTGGAGTTGAGAGTGCTTGCGGTCCTGGGGGGTGGGGGCAGTTCAGGGGCAGGAATAGGAGAAGCTAAGGCAGGGGTGTCAAACTCATTTTCAGGGGGGGGTGCGGAGCACATCAGCCTTCCGGTTGCCTTCAAAGGCCGAATGGGATTTCAGGACTGTGTGAATGTGACTGCTCCTTAACTAGGGGCAAGGAGTTCAGTTCTGGCGCCAGGGAGAAACAAGGTGCCAGGTGGGATTCGGCCCGCGGGCCTTGTGCTTACCACCTGTGAGCCAAGGGGTAGCCTTGCTCCCCAGCTTGCTGCAGGCCTTACCCTTCCCCTCCCTGCACCTCAGCTTCCTCCTCTGACCTGAGCAGGAGTGGGGGTGGGGGGCAGGGGTCCCAGCGCCCTGGCAGAAATAGGGAAACTGAGGCTCCAGTAGCGCCAGGCAGGGGCTGGGTCTCAGTGCCGCCCTGCACTTCCCTGCATCTCTCTCTGACTCTGTCTCTCTGTCTGTCTTTCTCCGTCCATCTGGTTCTCCACACCCCACCTTTCCCTCGGCTGCCTCTCCCCTCTTTGTCAGTCTGACTCTCCTCCTCTGACCGCTCTCTGTTGTCAGTCTGTACGTCTGTCCCTTCCAGTTGGCCTGTCTGTCTGACTTCCTCTCCCCGTCTCTGGCTCCCCGGCTGCTTGTCCTCTCTCTCCTCTCCTGTCTCACACCCCAGTGTGTGTCTGTCTCTCTGGTCTGCCGCTCCCGCTCTGCCCGGCGTGTTTCTCTCTCCCTCTCACACCGTCTCTGCGTCTCCGACAGGGACCAGGCCCCGGGGGTGGGGTGCCGTGCTCCCCTTGACCCATGGCCTCTCCCCCTCTCTCCCCACTTCCTGGCAGCGAGTCGGTTATCTGCTCGAGCCGGGCCACGGTGATGCTTTATGACGATGGCAACAAGCGGTGGCTGCCTGCAGGCACGGGCCCCCAGGCCTTCAGCCGAGTCCAGATCTACCACAACCCCACAGCCAATTCCTTCCGGGTGGTCGGCCGGAAGATGCAGCCAGACCAGCAGGTGAGGCCCCTCTGCCCGTGCCTCCGGGGGCTGCACCCTGCACCCCCACCCTCACCTGCGGTTCCCCTCCTGCCAGGTGGTCATCAACTGCTCCATCATGCGGGGTCTCAAGTATAACCAGGCCACACCCAACTTCCACCAGTGGCGCGACGCCCGCCAGGTCTGGGGCCTCAACTTCAGCAGCAAGGAGGACGCCGCACAGTTCGCCGCAGGCATGGCCAGTGCCCTAGAGGCGTTGGAAGGTCAGACTCGGTGGGCTGAGGGGGTCTGCCCAGCCCGGGGCCGCCCCTTCACCACGCAGGGCCTCCCCTCCCCTTACTCCTCTGAGAACAGGGCTAATGCACTGCTGCTGGGACTGTGGACAGATATTCTAAGGATTTAAAAAATATATATTTTATTTACTTTTAGAGAGAGGGGAAGGGAGGGAGAGAAACATCAATGTGTGAGAAGATACATTGATCAGTTGCCTCTTGTCCCGCAACCCAGCCATGTGCCCTGACTGGGAATCCAATCGGCGACCTTTCGGTTCACAGGCTGGTGCTCCATCCACTGAGCCACACCAGCCAGGGCTATTCTGAGGAATTAGTGTAGGCTCCCATGTGCCCCTTGTACACCCGATTCCTGCGGGTGCAGTAGGCCCCATGAATTTTTACCGGGTCCACTCCTGTGTGACTGACCACCTCCCAGACAAAATGTAGCCATTTCCAGCCCTCGGAAGGCTCCCTCCCTGCCCTTTACCAGGTAACCCTTGTACTGGCTTATGTCGTCATCAATTTTGTGTTTAGACATCGAAATTAAACAATCTCTAGGCGGTAGTTCTTAACTTGAATGTGCCCACGAACCGTCTGCACCTCCGGGTAACACGCAGATTCCAGTTCAGTGGGGCTGGGGTGGGGCCCGAGCCTCTGCAGTTCCAATGAGCTCCCTGGTGGTGCCAGGTGTGTGCACCAGGGTCTGGGGTCACTGCTGCAGAGAACCCCAAATCACTGAATGGCCCAGGTGTTTGCTTCCAGGAGCCGCTTCAGCACCAGTCTGAGGGGCTCGCTTGTCTGGAGGCACAGAGAAGAATATGGGGGTGGTTTGGGTCCCTGAAGCCAGAGGCTTTGAGGGTGGGTGAGGAGCAGGCTCTCGGTCTTTCCGGGGGTCTCAGGCTGGGGTCTGAGTGGCCGAGCCGGTGGTTTACAGCAGACGTTGGATTCAGCCTGAATTACCCTTGTTCCCGCAAACTCAGCGTCTGCAGGACTTGACGCCACTGACTGCCCCTTTGGGCCTTCGTTGTCCCACCTGCCGTTTGGCCAGCACCGCAGCACCCACCTCACATCCGCTCAGTTAAGGGGAGCTGGTGCTGACCCTCGTCCTGGAGGTTTGCCGGGTGCCCACATCCCCGCTCAGAGGGTTGGGTCGGGTCTGAGGAAGAAGGAAGTGAGTGGCTCTGTTCTGGACGGACGCCTGAGAGCCCTGGGAGAGCCAGGGAAAGTGCCAAGAGGCGGGGCAGGTTCCGGGGGTGACTCATCGCTTTTTTCTACTCTCACCTTCCAGGAGGTGGGCCTCCAGCACCGCCACCGCCGCCGCCGTCCTTGCAGCCACCCGCAGCACCCGCCACCTGGTCTGTCCAGAACGGCCCCTCCCCGGAGGAGGCAGAGTATCAGAAAAGGTGGGGCCAGTCCCTGGTGGGGAACCTTGCCACTGCAGGAGTTCTAGGATGTTCCACAGCCCAGGCTCCTAGAATTCAGAACTCTCCAACCTTCAGTTTCCAAAATGTTTCAACTCCTGGGGACTAGAAATTGACACCTTTGAGAAACTCCTGACTCCCCGGAATTGCAGAATTTACTGACCCTTCAAATCCCGCCTCCACCTCACCCCTGCCAGATTCTCAAGAGTCCAAAATTCGGTTGTTTGAAGCATGTTGGGCATTTGGTAATGTTTCTGACAGTCTGAGGACTAGAATGCTTGCATCTTGGCCTCACCCTGGGCCCGCAGCACCCCCCCCCCTTTCCTGGGCCCCTGGGGAAGGAAGCCGGGTAGGGATCAGGAGCAGCCTGACTGGACACCTCAGACAGAGGCCAGGGGCTGCTGGCGTCCTCAGGGCCCCGAGTGACAGCAGCTCCGTCTTCCCTCCTCAGGCAGCCGGAGCATGTGGAGCGGGAGCGTCGAGTCTCTAATGCAGGTGATTGTTCACAGGTGTCCGGAGGGAGTCAGGGGCCCTCCCCAGAGGAGGGGGTGGGCAGGCTGGATAGCAAAGAAGGAGGCTTCTCTCTCAGCAACCCCCTTTTCTGTGTCTGTTTCAGGAGGGCCACCTGCTCCCCCAGCTGGGGGACCACCCCCACCTCCAGGACCTCCCCCTCCTCCAGGTCCTCCCCCACCCCCTGGCCTGCCCCCATCCGGGGTCTCAGCTGCAGGGCATGGAGCAGGGGGAGGTCCACCCCCTCCACCCCCTCTCCCCACGTCATCAGGCCCCAGTGGTGGAGGGACTGGGGCCCCCGGCCTGGCTGCAGCCATTGCCGGAGCCAAACTCAGGAAAGTGAGCAAGGTGAGGGGGCCAGACAGGGCAGGGTGTGGGGAGACTGGGGCCCTGATGGAATAATGGGACATGAGGCCAGAATTGCCTGAGGGCATCACAGGAGGGGCTAGAGGCCAGGAGGCCTGCCCATAAAGCCCCCTCCTCTTTGTAATTTCTCCAGCAGGAGGAGGCCTCAGGGGGGCCCTCAGCCCCCAAAGCTGAAAGCAGTCGAAGCACAGGTGGGGGGCTCATGGAAGAGATGAACGCCATGCTGGCCCGGAGGTGAGCCTGAGTGTGAGGCTGGAGCGCTGTGTGCCCCTGGGAAACCCCAAACAGCCCCCGAGACCAGCAGTGATCACCTGGTCTGTAGAGCCGGGGTGCAGGGGGGCCCAGATTCCCGTTTTCTTGTTTCCTTGGATGAAGCTCTCCTTTGGTAGCCAGGCTTGGAACAGAATGCTAGGGACTGCATTCTCCTGAGATGTCTCAGGTTTGCAGCCACTGGGGAGCATCTAGAATGTTCCGAATTCTAAGACCTTGGAAATTCCTGCCTCAGCCTTCATTGGGTGGCTGGGTTGGTTGGAGCATCATATGTACACCAAAAGGTTGTGGGTTCGATTCCTGGTCAGGGCACATACCTAGGTTGTGGGTTCAGTCCCCACTTGGGGCGCATACAGGAGGCAACCAATCTGTTTCTCTCTCACATTGATGTTTCTCCCCCCCTTCTGCCCCTCTCCCCCCTCCCTCCCTTCCTTCTTCTAAAATCCATAAACATACTTGGGTGAGAAAAATATAAATAGATAAATAAATTTCTGCCTCAGAATCTGGAAACTCAGATTCCTAAAATCCCAGCACCTAAGATAGAGCCCTATGCCCTTAGAATTTTGTGATTCCCAAATGTGAGAATCGTAAAACCCCCACCTCAATTTGAGAATAGCAGTCTTTTAATTGATTTGAGAGAGAGAGAGAGGGAGAGAGAGATGGATTTGTTGTTCCACTCATCCATGCATTCATTGGTTGATTCTTGTCTGTGCCCTGACTGGGGATCGAACCCACAACTTTGGCATTTCCAGACAATGCTCTAACCAACTAAGCTACTCAGCCAGGGCTTACACTCTCTTTAACTTCTAAAACTAAAGTGTTCTTAGCCTTCACACATTCCGTAACTCTGTACCTAGAATCTAATTTTGAGAACTCTGGGAAGGGGAATTGTTGAATGGCTGAGGGAGAGCTGAAGCTGTCTGTTTTTGCCTTTCCCTCCTGCAGAAGGAAAGCTACACTGGTTGGGGAGAAACCTCCCAAGGATGAATCTGCCAATGTGAGTTAGGGGCTTTTCCTGCCATATACACCTTAGGCTGTACCATTTGGGCCAGGAGATTGGGGAGGTGGTGTGACCCGGGAGGGCTGATTTGAACCTGGAAGAGGGAAAGGAACAAAGGTGAGGCAGGGACTGCCTCGTGACACTTCTTTTTATTTCCCACCAGCAGGAGGAGCCAGAGGCCAGAGTCCCAGCCCACAGCGGTGAGTGAAAGCCCAGGCTAGCCACAAGGACTACAAGTCCCAGGATGCCTTGTCCTCACACCTAAAGCACACTCTTGAGAGGGTCTGTGCAAAGAATGCTGGAGACTGTAGTCTCCTGAGATGGTTCTTTGAACAGGGACTGATGAGGCTTTGGGAGAAAGATTGAGGTGGGGCATTCTTTGTCCCTTATCTTTCTGACTTGTTGCCTGTCCCCCAGAACCTGTGCGGAGACCCTGGGAGAAAAACAGCACAACCTTGCCAAGGTGGGCCATCAATGCTGGGGCCCCACCTGCCCAAAGTAGTTGGGTCGGCCGACTTCATAGGAGGAACATGCTGTTCCTTGAATGGGAGGCCCGGGAGGCAGGCCCTCTCTGACTCATTTCTGTCCCAAACCACCCCGCCTGTCCCAGGATGAAGTCGTCCTCTTCAGTGACCACTTCCGAGGCCCACCCTTCTACACCCAGCTCCGGTGATGAGTCAGACCTGGAACGGGTGAAACAGGTAGGGGAGGGCCCTGGAGGGGGGGGCTTGAGGGCTAGAAAGGAGCCACAGGAAGAGAGGAGATCTAGGTCTCAACTCTGCCGCCGACCTGCCTGGTGATTCTAGAAAAGGCCTCAGAAACACTCAGCTTTCTAGTCTGAGGAATGAAGAGACTTGATTGGGTCAGGGATGACATGTCTGTCTCATCCACACACCCCCTCTCTAGTGCCCTCGGCAGACCCTACTCATCTGTCGCTGTACACATTTCTGATGGCGCCCGGAGTTCTTTCGGGCGCACTGGCCTCAGGCATCCATCTGCGGTCGGAGCTGGCAGCGGCCGGGACTGTGTTTGCCAGCCCTGGTACTGGATGTTCTCCAGTACTTTTCTTCTGGCTTCTGAGTATCGAGAATTCTCTAGAATTCTCCAGTCCCTCCATGGCCGTGTCAGTGATGTCGTGGTGTGTGTGTGTGTGTGTGTGTGTGTGTGTGTGTGTGACCTTTCAGTCACTAAGAAAGGACAGACTAGGATCAGCGAGTCCTTGTACCCTTCCTGATTGGTTGTACCCGGTTATCATTCAGGAGCTTCTGGAAGAGGTGAGGAAGGAATTGCAGAAAGTGAAAGAGGAAATAATTGAAGGTGAGGTTGTTGTTTTTTTAATATATTTTATTGATTATGCTATTACAGTTATTCCAATTTGCCCCCCTCCACCCAATATCCCCCTTCCCTCCAGCAGTACCCCCCTTTAGTTCATGTCCATGGGTTAAGCATATAAGTGCTTTGGTTTCTCTATTTCCCATACTGTTCTTAACCTCCCCCTATCTTTTCTACCTACCATTTATGCTTCTTATTCCCTGTACTGTTTCCCCCATTCCCCCTACCCCTGCTGATAACCTTCCATGTGATCTCCATTTCTGTGATTCTCTTCCTGTTCTGGTTGTTCACTTAGTTTGTTTTTTTAGATTCAGTCATTGACAGTTGCGAATTTGTTGCCCTTTTAATGTTCATAGTTTTGATCCTTTTTTTGTTCTTAAATAAACCCCTTTAACATTTCACATAATAATGGGTTGGTGAGGATAACTCCTTTAGCTTTAACTTACCTGAGAAGCACTTTCTCTGCCTTTCCATTCTAAATGAAAGCGTTGCTGGATAGAGTCATCTGGGTTGTAGGTCTTTGCTTTTCCTCACTTAGAATACTTCTTGCCAGTCCCTTCATACTGCAAAGTTTTTTTGAGAAACTAGCTGATAGTCTTATGGGAACTCCTTTGTAGGTAACTGTCTCCTTTTCTCTTGTTGCTTTTAAGATTCTTTATCTTCGACCTTTGGCATTTATTTATTTATTTACTTTTAGAGAGAGGGGAAGGGAGGGAGAAAGAGAAGGAGAGAAACATCAATATGGTAGAGATTCAGTTGCCTCTCACACACCCTCAACCGGGGACCTGGCTTGCAACCCAGGCATGTGCCCTGACTGGGAATTGAACTAACAACCTCTCAGTTCACAGGCCAGTGTTCAGTCCACTGAGCCACACCAGCCAGGGCAACCTTTGGCATTTTAATTATGATGTGCCTTGGTGTGGTCCTCTTTGGATCCATCTCGTTTGAGACTCTGTGCTTCCTGGACTTCCATGTCTATTTCCTTCATCAAATTAGGGAAGTTTTCTTTCATGTAAGTTTTCATTTTCTTTCTCTTCCTCTTCTCTTTCTGGCACCCCTCTGATTTGGATGTTGGTACATTTAAAGTTGTCCTAGAGGTTCCTAAGCCTATCTTCATTTTTTAAAAATTATTTTTCTTTCTGCTGTTCTGATTGAATGTTTTTTCCTTCCTTGTGTTCCAAATTATTGATTTGATTCTTGACTTCTTCATCCTCTCCTACTTGTTGGTTCCCTGTAGCTTTTTCTTTATTTCACTTAGTGTAACTTTCATTTCTTCCCTGTTGGTGTTGCTGTACTCGGTGAGTTCTTGGAGCATCCTGATCACCAGTGTTTTGAACTCTATCTCACAGCTTGGTCATCTCAGTTTCATTTAGTTCTTTTCCTAGGGTTTTGTGCTTTTCTTTCATTTCCTATTTCTTTGTCTTCTCAAATTGGCAGCCTCCCTATGTTTGTTTCTGTTTATTCGGTAGAGCTGCTTTGACTACCTGTCTTAGAAAAGGCACCTGTAAATTGTGTGGGGCGGAGCCTTAGGTAATCGCCAGGACTGGGCAGCCTGCCTCACTGGTTTGCGGCTCTGTGTGGGGGGAGGTCTCGGAGCGCGGACAGTGCCGCTGCCTGGCTTCTGGAGGTTTGCCCAGCTCTCGCCCTCGTTTCCAGTCACTTCCCTCACTTCCCCCACTTCCCGTATGTGACTGACGGCTTTCAGCTGTTGCCCGGGTGGTGAATCCCAGAGTGGGTAGATTTGCCCACATTCTGAGTCCGTGCAGGCCCTTTAAATGGACTCTCCTGAAGATCCAGCAGTTTCTTCCACTGCCCCAAACCCCACTGGTTTTTACAGCCAGAAATTATGGGGATTCATCTCTCTGGCACTGGAACCCTGGGCTGTATGGTCTGGCCTGGGACTGGGATTGCTGTCTCCCAAGGCATCCCTTCAGATTGTTATCCACCACCACTTGTGAGCGTGGGACCACCCATTCGCCGCCTCTCTGCGCCTCTCCACCCATCTCTGCCATTCTGGCCCTTCTGCCCATCTGGAGGAATGTAGCTTCTTTAAATCCTTGGTTGTGGGACTTCCGTACAGCTCGATTTTCTGACAGTTGTGGTCATTATTTGTTTTGGGATATAGTTATAATTCTGTCTGTGGTTGTGGGAGGAGGGAAAGGGTGTCTGCCTATGCCTCCATCTTGACGGGAAGTCGAGGCTGTTTTTTAAACATTTATTTTGGAGGCATCCTGTCCCTTGGAAAGAGCCCTGTTTTGGAAGGGAAGGGGGAAGAGGCTCTGCCCCTGAACTCTGCCCTTTGTTTCCTTCCAGCCTTTGTCCAGGAGCTGAGGAAGAGGGGTTCCCCCTGACCACAGGGCCCCGAAGAGCGAGTTTCTCCTTTCTGCACACCCCGCCTGTCACCCTGCTTTCCCTGCCTCAACTAAACTTGGAACTGGCTGAAGAATACAGGAATGCGGCTTCCCCACTCCCGAGGGGGTGTGGCTTCTGTCGTGCCCCCGCCCATACTGGCTGCTGATTGGCTGGGGAGGCCCCCACCTTTTGCTCTCTGTGGTCCTCCTCCTCTGCCATCCCCTTGGGGCGGGTTCCTTTGCAGGGGGATGTACCAATGAACCCCACAGTGAGAGGGAAGGGAGGAGGGAATTTCACATTCCCTAGTTCTAGATTTCACTTTAACGCTTAATGCCTTCGAATTTTTGTTTTTTAAGAAGAAAAATATATATATATTTAGGTTTTGGGGGGAGGGAAATTTTTTTCTCTTTGGTTTTGATAAATGGGGTGTGGGGAGTTTTTAAACGCCGTAGCCCAAGGCTTGTTCCATTTAGGGCAGCTATTTAAGGGGGGATGTCCCACCAGGCTGGGGGCACCTCTCTGGACCCCAGGAACATCCCTTCCCTTTGGCTCCTTCCCCTTTTCTATGAGGAATTAAGATGCTGTAACTTTTTGGAACCTCAGTTTTTGTTTTTTTGTTTTTTTATTTGGGTAGGTTTTGGGGTCCAGGCCATTTTTACCTGCTTAGGGAAAATAAGATGAAGGAGAAAGAAAAGGGGGAAGAAAGCTCCCCTCTCCCACCTTCACCTGTAGCTTCTTGAAAATGGGCCCCTGCAGAATAAATCTGCCGGTTTTTATAAATGCTAAGATCTCGAGTGATTTGAAGGGCCGCTCTGATGAGGATGGGGTGTGTCCTCCCTCTTCCCAGCAATCCACCTGCGCCTCCTCTTCCTTCTTCCCACCTGTCCCAGTCAGTTCCTTCAGGCTCTGCCCTCCCTCTCTCTGGACCTCTCAGCAGACCTGCCTCCCTCTCCACGCCCCTTACCAGGCAGCTTCCTCACTCCTTCCCCTCCCCTCCTCCCCCAGGGCCAAGCAGCTGGCCATCTCAGAGAAAGCCGGGGCTGTCCCTCGTGGACTGTGTGGCCTGGGGAAAGTCCTTTGCTTTCCCCGGACCTTGGCTTTCCCGTCTGGGAAAGGACTCACAGGGTGACTCTGCTCCCTTCCCATCAGAACCTTCCCAGCTTCTCCTAATTTTAATGACCCTGTAGCCGTGGTTCTCAGACACATTAAGGTGACTCCTTTGCCCCAGAGCTCCTTTAATTATAAAACATGTACAGTCTGAAAAGGCAGAGTTTGGAAGTCAGAGCTTGCACACACCCCTTTCGGTGGTTCCCTGGGTTGGCCGGGGTAGGTCTCCGAGCTAACACTGTCTGGTGGAACAGCCCCTCTGGGTGGGGGTGGGGAACTTGGGGCCGAGGGGCTGGTGGTCCCATGGAAGAAGACTTGCATGAAGCAGGGATCCCTGAGTACTCAAAGCATGGGAAGACGGGGGTCATGACAATTACCCATATGGGGGGGCAGCAGGTGGGTCCCTGTGAGTGGCCCTCAGGGCAGGACAATGGGGAAGGACAGCGGTTGACCAGAACCACCGGTGAACAGGGGCTCTGACTGAATGACCGCTCAGCCCCAGGCAGCACCAGTTCTGCCAGCCCAGAGGGCCACATCCTGCTGGAAGAGATCCCAGAAGTGGGGGGGAGGGGGCATCTGCTGGGACTGCCTGGGAGGACCCTGCACACCTTTCCAGTGGGTTGTGCCACAGGTTGGAATTAGCCGGTTAAGGAGGGGGGACCCAGCAGAGGCACAAGGGACTAAGGCACCACGGTGACTCATTGGGGCTAAAACGACACCATCCATCCTTGTGTTCCTCACTGCCACCTCAAGCCCCCAAAGGTGAGGCAGACAAGTGTCTGCATTTTCATTACAAAGGTCAGAGAAGGGGCAATGAGTGTGCCAGTGTCCTGGGGAAGGACCGCTCCTAGGTAGGTAAGTGGGGGTGTGAGTGGCGGAATGAGCATTACCTGGGTCTGTGTGTCCTGCTGGCCAATCTGGTGGGGGGAAGTGACCAAAAGCCTGGCTGGATCAGCCCCAGTGTAGGGTCCGTTCTGCTTCTAAAGGGACTGGGTGGGCTTAGTGGGACGGGTTTAGGAAGGGACAGGGCGGACAGAAGGCCATGTCGGAGGAGTCACATCGAAGACCGGGGCTATTCCTCAGGCGTGGGCTCCGCCTGGGGCGAGGACGGCTTGTCCCCATCTTGGATGCAGAGCTGGGCTCGCACCTCTTGCATCTGCTTCCGCAGCTCCTCCAGGGCCGGCTGTTCGACCGCCGCCGCCGCCGCCGCCGCTGTCTCCTCCACCCGCGCCTGCAGCTCCTCCAGCACCAGCGCCAAGTGGTCCACCTCGTCCCGCATCGTGTCCCAGGCGACACGCTGCTGCTTCTTCTTGCGACGATGGTGCGACTTTTGGCGCCAGAACTCCAGCACCAGGCAGCTGCAGGCCACTATGAAGATGGTGGCCTCGCCCAGCAGCTCGGCGCCCAGCTCTGCAGCCGCCGCCTCGTTCAGCGGCTTCACGGCTTCTGCATTGAAGCCCATGATGCTCATCTTGGCCCGCATCTCCGCCCAGTGGTAAACTGTGGGGGGAGAGGGGGGTCAGCGACCCTTTGCTGCCGAGCCCCTGCCAGCCCTAACCCTCGACTCCTTGATGTCCTGCTGGGACCGACCGGGGGGGGGGGGGGTGGGGGGGCGGGAAGGCAGCCAGAATCTCTGTCGTTGGGGAGTGAGCGCCATCGAGAAGACTCGCGGGCGAAGAAGATGCAGGTGCTCCAGGCCACGCGCGCGCGGAATGCTGTTAGTTACTTGGGCTGGGGTGCCGCGGAGGGCATCCTCTGAAAGTGTCCAGAAGATTCTGGCGAGCAGCTGAGAATGAGAAACGCTGCCTTGGAGGGGAGGTTCTGAGGCGACAGTCCAGAGCAGGAGTAAATTTTCCCCTTTCCCCCTCAACCCTCCCCACTTCAGAGCCAGACCAGCACCTTCCCGCCGCCCCAGAAGGAGGCGGTGACAACTAGCTCCTGAAGTGTGTTCCCTGTGTGGTTGGGGAAGGAGCCTAGGGCTTGAGAAGCGGGGCTCTAATGACTTCTGTACCCAATCACTCATTCAGATGAGCAATGACCAGCATTAATCATTGCTGATAAATGTAACACACACACAGTTGATGCTGAAACCTGACTCACTCCAGTAATAATTAATATTCACCCTTGATACATGAGCTGCTGGAGAAAATAATGAGCCTTTTTGGGCTCAATAAGAGATGAATTCCTGAAAGCATTTTATACTTCCCCCTTCCAGCCATCCTCCCCAACAGCCAGGCTGATCTAATTACATTTTCTTCCCCTTAGCTGGGATTAGTTACTCTTTGCAAAAAGGGTTGTAAAATGAAGGGAGTCCATCTTCCCACCCCCAGCTCTAGTCCTGCTCTATGGAAAACTTTTTTTAAAAGATTTTATTTATTTTTAGAGAGAGGGAAGGGAGAAAGAGAGGAAGAGAAACCAATGTGTGTGTTGCCTCTTGAGTGCCCCCTACTGGGGACCTGGCTTGCAACCCAGGCTTGTGCCCTGACCGGGAATTGAACCACTGACCCTTTGCTTCGCAGTCCAGTGCTCAGGACTGCACAGTCCACAGTCAGGGCTGCAGAACAACTTTGGAGCTTTTGTGTATTGATTTCTTGCACATTAATCCCATAATGCTAAATTACCAGTTTATACCTCTAGTTTTTGATTTACTAAATTGAATCTTTACAAATATTATGACTTGACTTTCCATTGCCATCCCTGCTTGTGTGAAATTAAACACATATTCTATATACTTCCAAGGTTTGCAAGTGATTTTTAGTTTGTTTCTATTGATTGGTAACAAGTAAAATAATTCTAAATTATTTTAAGTAACATGCCTGTTGCCTCAACTTCCTGGCATGTGCACCTGTACGTAACATCGCTGTGCCAGAGAGAAGCAGTTGCCTGTCACATGCCCCGACCCAGGGACCCGGCCCACAGCCCAGGCATGTGCCCTGACCCGGAACCGAACCTGTGACCCCTCAACCCCTTGGTTTGCAGGCCAGCTATTCAATCCACTGATCTACACCAACCAGGACTTCAGATGTCTTTTTGAAGTTGTTAATAAGTGTTTTACTATTCTTTGTCCACTTTCACACTAGAATAAATTATCATTTCTAGGCCCAGAAACATAGGCTCAAAACTTCTCAGAAGCTCCGGCTGGTGTGGCTCAGTGGATTGAGCATGGGCCTGGGAACCAAAGGGTCACTTGTTCAATTCCCAGTCAGGGCACATGCCTGGGTTGCAGGCTGGGTCCCCAGCAGGGGGCGCATGAGAGGCAACCATGCACTGATGTTTCTCTCCCTCTCTTTCTCCCTCCCTTTGCCTGCTCTCTAAAAATAAATAAAATATTTTTTAAGAACTCAGAAGTTGGGAGGCCTGGTGGCATCATGAGTCCTGGCAGGGCCTTTGGTCCCCCTGTGGCACTGACATTGCACCAGGGCGGGTTTGGGAAGGAGTTTCTCTTGTTTCCATCATTTCATACTTTTCTCTGAACCTTGTTTCTCTCCTTAGTTCTGGGAATTTTTCTTGCCTGTGCAGTAAAGGGTTAGCCTTACCCTATAAACAGGGGCCTGGCCTTGGCCCTTGGGTCCTGAGAGGAAGTCTTTAAGTCCTAGGAATGTCCTGTCTGAAGAGTGTCTGTTTACTTGGGGCCTCTGTGCCAGAAAATGGACACTAGCAGTGTGATTTGTGGTGACCACATGGTATCTGCTCCACCTCTGGAGGGGCTAGAAACTAAGGTCGGCCACGTGGTTCCCAAACCTTGTCTGTGTGACCCACCCCCACTGAAAAGCCTGGAGAAGGTGGCTTGGGTGAGCTTCCTGGTTGGCAGTGTTCCATGTCCCGGTCACACGGTGCTGCTGGGAGAAGTTAGCGCCGCCCACCATTCCACTGGTTCGAGGGGACCTCACTCGCACTGGGAACTCTCCTGGATTCTGCCCCGTGCTCCTCTTCCCTCGACTGGTTTGAAACTACATCCTCTCTCTGTAATGAACTGTAACAGGGAACCCTGACCAGTGTTGCTCGGTTGGCTGGGTGCCCTTCTGCAAAGTGAAAGGTCACTGGTTCAATTCCCTGTCAAGGCACACACCTGCATTGCAGGTTGGGTCCCCAGTCAGGTACTTGCAAGAGGCAACTGATCAATGTTTCTCTCATATTGATGTTTCTTTTCATCTCTTTTCTTCTCCCTTACCCTCTCTCTAAACATAAATAAATAAAATCTAGCCCTGGCTGGTGTGCCTCAGTGGATTGAGTGCCAGCCTGTAAACCAAAGAATCACGGGTTTGATTCCCAGTCAGGGCACATGCCTGGGTTGTGGGCCAGGTCCCTAGTTTGGGGGTACGTGAGAGGCAACCACACATTGATGTTTCTCTCTCTGTCTTTCTCCCTCCCTTTTTCTTTCTCCAAAAATAAATAAAAATCTTTAAAAAATTAAAGTAAAAAAAGCACTGTAACAATGAGTCCTGTGAGTCCTATGAAATCATTGAAACCGGAGACTGTTTTGGGGCACCCTGAACTTGCAGCTGCTGTCAGAGTGAGGGCACAGTGGGGTTGCAGGGGCTACTTTTGTCCTCTTCCCTGTTCCTCCTGGGCGTGTGTTGAACTGTTCTTCAGGACTTGCTCACTTTGGTTTAGCTGTTCTGCCTTTCAGTGAGGAGCTTTCATAGCCCTGTGAGTCCAAGTTGCCTGGCCCCCTTGCCAGCCTCCTCTAAGGCAGTTTCACTTGTGACAACCAGGGGAATCGGCGATTGTCATCATCGTCCCGTGACTGTGCCAACTGCCAGGCACCCACTTAGCCAGAACTGTGCTCCCACTCACTGCAGGAGGCCAAGGGGTAAAGAAGTGTGTGGGAATGACCCAGCGTCCTCTGCGCCCTGTCTGCAGTTGCTTGGGGAGAGTGGAGTGGGGCTGCACAAGCTCAAGGAAACTGGGGAGCAATGAGACATGTCCACTGTCTTCAGGGTGGTGGTGGTTTGACACATATGTCAAAACCAAACTAGATCAAATTATACTCTTTCTAGACTTACGTTACACTGTGATCACTGATACTTCAAGAAAGCTGCTTTAGAAAAAACTTGGGATGAGACAGAATAAGCGCCCACTTAGACACAGAGAAGAAGGACTGAAAGAGGCTGTGACAGGAGAGAGGGTACAGGATGGGCCCTGCTGGTGTGGCTCAGTGGACTGAGTGACCGACTGTGGACCAAAGAGTCACGGGTTTGATCCCTGGGTTGTGAGCCAGGCCCCCAGTAGGGGGCGCGCGAGAGGCAACCACACACTGATATTTCTTTACCTCTCTTTCTCTCTCCTGTACCCTCTAAAAATGAATACATAAAATCTATTTTAAAAAGGGTACAGGATGGGAACCGCTAGGCTTTTCTAGGTGGGGAGGGGGAGAGCACAAATGCAGTCCCCCAACCACAAATTATGCGAGTCTACCACGTTCCGGGAAATTGCTGGGGGCAGCACACCCGCTCTGCGGTGGGTGAGCCTCGCCGCGGGGAAAACTACCTTGGTGATCATGGCATCTCCTCTGCCTGCCAGAGGGGTGTCAGCAAACTGCTAGTTTTTATTACAAACCTTACAGAAATAAAAGTTTCATTCTTTAAGTGGAAAGTAAAAACACATTAATGTGATCACGCAATATTTGGGGAACCTAAGCATTATCTTGGATCCTCATCCCCAATCTGATTAGTGGCCAGGTTTGCAATTGTAACATTACTGGAAGGTTATCACAGTTTAATTATCACAGATAGAGAGAGTGAGGCCTAGGAGGGAGCGCAGTGACAGAAAGCACGTGGGCAGCTCCCTGAGGGCAGTACAAGTGGATTGCACAGGAACAAAGGAGACTGGAGAGGGAGGGAAACTGCTCCTTGACTGTGGCGGTGGCTTCCTGGACTATGCCTCTGATAAAAAAAACTGCTTTAAACAGAAAATCATGACCCCCCTTGCTCCCACAACCCATTAATAAACTTGCTTTTTATTCATTAGTTTTCTCATTTCCCACCCAAGGCAAATATCCCGCGTAGACTGTGGGGCGCAGTCAGAATGCAGTTTGTAGTCTATCTGCTCTGCGCTCACTTGGAGAGCTGCTAAAGGAAGGGTGCCTGCGGAGTCTTCTGAGCCGGGGAGGGCATGCCTCTAAATGGCTCCTATTAAAACAGGCACTTATTTTAAAAAACATATTTTTATTTATTTATTTTTAGAAAGAGGGGAAGGGAGGGAGAAAGAGAGAGAAACATCAATGTGTGGTTGCCTCTTGCATGCCCCTCCTGGGGACCTGGCCCACAACCCAGGCATGTGCCCTGACTGGGAATTGAACCAGCAGCCTTTTGGTTTGCAGGCTGGCATTCAATCCGCTGAGCCACACCAGCAGGACTAAAACAGGCACTTATTTTTTATCATTTCCTATCCCCTCTCCCTACTTTTTTAATCTTTGCTTTTCCCCTCATTTGCAGCCCTGTCATTTCAAATATTTGATTCAAATAAATTTCTCCAACAATTAATGTAAAGCAATGTTAAGAGGGCAAGTCCCGTTTTTCCCTGACAATTCAACGGGCCGTGTGCCTCCCACCCAGGGAGTGCCTCGGTTTCCCACATAGCCAAAAGCAATGAAATCACTAGCCAGAGAGATCATTAGATTCAATCTCCAGAGCCTCTCCCCTCCCATAGTTGTAAAGTCTAAACTTCTGCCAGGTGTTTCTGATGCTCAGTCTCTAACTTGAGGCACCTCACTAGTATTACCCAGAATACCAAAACCATCCTACACAAGTGCCGTGGCCTCAATAACATGCACCAACCAGGGATAACCAGATGCAGGCCAGGACTCAGGGCCAGTACCTGTGGGGAGTCCAGGCTCCTCATCTTCTCAGGTATGGACCTCCCATCAGCCAAGGTGGGTGGTCGCTGGGAGGTCCAGGGTCTCCTGCCAGCTGCCTCCTCCAGCTGGAACCACAACCCTCATGCCTCTGTCCCCTACAGTTCTCTTTCTCCTGCTCCTGCCATTGGTGCTGGGAAGTCACCATCCCTCTGAATGTAAGCATGGGCGTGGGGGGCAGGGAAGCCTGGCCCCTCTCGGTGGTGGCGGAGCAGCAGTGAGGGGAGCAGCTTCCATCCCCGTGCTCCTGCTCAGCTGAAATGCCGGCCTCAGTGAGGAATTCTGACTCACCTCCCACCCTGGGGGGCCGGGGGGGGGGTGTGAGCATCCCCCAAGCCATCCCTTTGTGCTGCGTGTGGGTGCTGAGGAAAAGAGAGCACTTCTCGGGAGGGAGCAGAAATGGGTCATCTGCTGGGACAGAGGGAGAAGGGCAGTGATTGGCTGAGTTACCAGCCAAAGCCAAGGGCCCTGTTCCACTACAGGCCCAGCTGGTGAAGCTTTGCTATCAAGTCTCCCTTCTTTGAACCCCACTAGCACCCGCCAGCTGACCGTCACCCTCAGTTTGTACAACACCCCCACGAAGCAGAAGAGACCCTTTTAAGGATGGGAAAAGTGTGGCTCAGGGCAGGGTGAAGTTCATTGCCTGAGGCCATATGGCTGATGGAGGGAAGGGTGCGGTTTGAATCCTGATCTGGCTGAGGAGTTCCTCTGGCTCCTACTTTTCTGAGCAAACTCCTAGCAGGAGGGACACTAGTTTCAGCCCAGGCAGGAGCCCAAGGACCACGTAAGTGTAGTGAGGGGTGGGGGGTGGAAGGAATATGGGGATGAGCCGAGAGAAAACGACCCAGCTCCTGACACGGGGCGGGGCAAGAATGGGGGGAAAGGGACCAGTGTCTCAGGCTTGCCCCCACAGAGGATGGGCTCGGCCTGCCGGGAAATGCCGACCTTGTGCCTGCCCTGCTCAGTCTGCTCTCCCCCCAGTTCCCAGGCCACTTGATCATTTTGGCCAGTGTCACAGGTGGACAGAGCCATCTCACTGCCCACTGTCATTCAGTAACCTGAGTGAGGCTGGGCATCACTGTGTAGGGCCCTAAGGCACATGCACTTTGGCTGTGACCTGGGGGTACCTGAGGTGAGTGGTGGGTAGTCCCGCTCACAGGGTCAGGTCAAGAGCCACAGAGGGTCTGAGAACTCAGTGCAGATCCCACCCATGGGCTGGGAAGAAGGCAGGTGGGAGAGGAGGTAGCCAGAGAAGAAGGGCAGGCTGCCCTGGCACAGAGGTGAACTGGGCCTCAGACACAGGCGCTGGGTGAGAGACAAATGGAGGAGAGAAAGATGAGATGCAGGAGGACGGGGTGGGGGTGGGGGGGGGCCTCCACTCAGGACCTGCCTGGCCTGACGCTCAGCCATCTGGCCCCCAGGCAAGGTGCTGGTTGTGACAGAGGAGAGGTGGCAACTCTGCGGCACCGTGACTCTGGACCCCAAGGACCCCCAGTGGAGCTGCTGCAGAAAATTCTACCCCTTCCATCACCCCACACAGAGGTGCTGCCAAGCCTTCGACCCAAAAGTATTCTTCGTCATCCCCACGGACAGCAAAAAGGAGGAAGCTGACGACTGCAAGACATACATCCAGGGGGCCCTAGGTAGGTGCTGGCCCCAATGGCAACCCACCCTTCTGGTCCTCCAGTGCTTGGGAGCCACGGAGTCCCTTTCTTCTCTCCCTCTTTTTACTTTGATGAAAAATAAATTGTACTATTAACAGGCTAGTAATGTGGGTCTTATTGTCGCTTCTTATTGATTGATTAAATGTTAAATAAGTGTTACAGCAACAGAAGAGAACAAGCGCGATGTCTTTTCAGAGAAGCAGCATCTCCAAGGTCCAAGAGTGAACCTCGAGAGAGAGTTCGCTCCACCGGCCTGCAGTGTAGGAGGAGACCCAGGGGTGGCGTGCTAACCCATGGTCACGCACAGTATTCCACCTTGCAGGGCAGCCAGGCAGCCCACAGAAGCACGGAGGAAAATTGACAGAGGCATCGGTGGCAGACCCCTTGAAACCAACCGGATGCCATGGGTGTGATTCTCCGAGCCCAAGACTTTAGAGACACCACCAGAGGTGACTAGGCAGAGGCTGGGCTTAAACACTCAGCACCGAGGTGATGGGCGAGGTTCTGCTGAGGACATGACGCTAGGTGGCTGGTTAGTGTTCGGGTTCTGCTCTCATGCTCCTTGGAAAGTTGGGGAACACCGGGGCTGTGACAGTTCCCTCTGCCCACTCTCCACTCCTGGCCGCCTTTCTGCCTTCTGTGCTCCCTGGAGGCTGAGCTCTGGGAAGGACACTGTGCACTCGGCTTTCTGGTGGGCCGCACGCCCACTACCCACCAGAGAGAGGAAGGGACAGGAGAAGGTAGAAGTGGGGCTTGGCTCCCCTGCCCCCTACTTGGCTGGGCTGCAGTGTTTACACTCGCACATCTGGGACCTGTTCCTTCTGAGATCTGAGGCTGGAATCAGCCCTGCCCTGTCCAGTCCCTGGGGCCCCAGTGCTCCTCCCTAAATCCCTCCTCCCTGCCCACACCTGCCCACACTGGCACTGAACTCTCCTCAGTAGATGCAACTAACAAAGCAAACAAACATAAAAACCTCCCACAGCTCCCCAGAGCTCTGAGGGGGCTTGTTAGCCTGGCTCCTTAAGGTCCTGCCAAATTTGCCCCCGCAGCTCATCCCTCCAGCTCCTGCTCTGTCCCTGCCGCTCCCACCTCTGCGGGAGCCGTGTCTCAGCACAGGCTGCCCCTCTCCTAGAACGCTGGCCCTTCCCAAATGGCTGCTTAGGCTGAAGCTCCTCTGGAGAGCAGCTCATGAGGGAATGGATCCTCACCAGATCAGGGGATCCCCCCTCCGCCGAGACCCCTTAAAAGGCAGATGCAGAGCACTTTATCAGATGATTCCTGCCTTGTACATATGTATATACCTACCAACACATATGCAGTGCATAACTTTTTCTCTATACACACATTTAGGACAGGAAACACAGCTAAAAGGTAACAGTGATCATCTCTGGGCTGGGATTATTGATGATTTTTTCACTGCATTTTATGTTTTCCAGTGTTTGCTGAGTTTTCCACAGTGAGCCTACTATGCCTTGAAATATGCAGAAAACAATGACTGGGAAACAAAGAAATGACCGGAATGGAATTGCCTCCTGTCCCGACTTCGCTGTCTCCCATCTATCTGCTCAGCGCCTTCAGCTCCCTCCTCCCAGGGCTTCACGCCACATGCCTTTTCCCTTCGTTGATTTTAATCTGTGCCCTTTCACTGTAATAAACTGTAACCATGGGCGTATCAGCTTTTCTAAGTCTTGTGAGTCCTTCTACCAAATCACTGAGCCTGAGGGTGGTTTGGGGGACCCCCAACACAAGTAGATTCAAGGATTTAAAGATATAACTTATATAACAGGAACAAGTATAAAGGACACATGGACAGAAACTAGGGGTGGGTGGAAATGGGAAGGAGGTGGGGAGGGCTGGGATGGGAGTAAAACACAGAAAATTGTACTTGAACAATAATTAAAATAAAATTATAAAAAATATATAACTTATACAAAATCATTCACAGAGTCCTGGCTGGTGTGGCTCAGTGGACTGAGTGCCAGCCTGCAAACCAGGTGCTCGTGGATTCGAT